ATAGCTATCGATAATAACGTAGAGTAAAATAAAATTAACTTTGAAGACAAATTAGGTGTAATTCATATAAGACGGAAGATGTGATATGTTGATAGTATGTTGTGTTTCACTAAAATGGACAATCGCATGCTGTTTTCAATTGACGAATCAGGTTTGGCTTTGAAATCAACATCAACTAAGACAAATTACATAAATTTTAATTGGAAGTTTGTTGAAGCAATTTCATGCTCGATCTTTTTGTTATAGAAAAATGTAAATCCTAGTTATTTATTTATTTTTCAGTTGTTATTTATTATAAGGTCGTCTCTGGTTCCTCAATCTGGTCGGGGGAAACCCAAAAAAGGGAAAATAATAATAATAATTTTATATGGAAGAAAAGGCATTAAAAAGGCTGCACCAACAAATATAAATTAAGGCAGTTAAAAAAAAAATCAAATATAAATTAAGGTAGTATTGTCGCCTCTCCACCCTCTACGGTGTTACGGTAGATGAATAATGGTGGGGTTTTTAATATCATGTATAGACAAATCTTATTTTAAAATGAAGCCTCGCAAATCCTTGCTAGCAATAGTTATAATTATTTTCCTTTTTTAACTCAATGAGTTCCATAATATAGAGATTTTGGCAAGACATAAGTACTATTCATTTCTCATTAATTTAAAATTTTGTTAGAGAGAAATTAACAAATTATTTATTAGAGTGTGTTTTAAATAAATTTTGAAAAAAGTTGAATATGTAGCTTTTTCAAAATTTGTTTAAAATTTATTTAAAAAAGTTAAATAATGAATTTTTCTTTGATAAATTTTAAATTTGTGAGAGATAAACAGTATTTTTAAAATAAACTTATTTTTAAAACTTTATCAAATATTTTCTTAATTATTTAATAAATATATTACAAAATACGGTAAATTGATGGTGTATTTATCAATGTTCTCCTCTTAATTGTTATGCTGCCTATGCATTCAGGAAAAACTCAGGATTTAAACTCGATCAGGATCCCTAGGTGGTGATGTTCTCACCAAGGCTCCAACATTAATATTTGCCGCTTTAGCTGCATATCTCATTTTCTAACCATAACATAGTCAACCACTTGTGGGAGTGTGATCTATGACCTAATCAGGCCCAAACAACATCAAATCATGCATGCTTACTGCTTACATCAGAAAATGGAGAAGTGCACTCCTAGACACAAACTTTTTTTCTTGCAAGAACCATGGGGTTTTGTTTTGAGCATGACATTAAAATTAAAGAAGTCATAGTTGTACTCAGCAGATTGCAGACTGCGGCAAATCTCTGATTAGCTGAGTGTGTACTAACTTTTTAAAAAAATTAAATAAAAAAGAAATTAACACTTGGCCAACAAAAAGTAGAATGCATTAGTTCAGCATTGATCCTAAAATCATGCATGACCTACCTATCTTTTTTTTTTAGTTCTCTTTTTTGTTACATCAGATAAAAGAAAAGAGTAAATTAAAAGATCAGTTTACATAAGCGATGCCTAGACAATCACCAAGCAGAATGGAAGCAATGCCCACTGGAGGTGCATCATAAATAGTCAAACCCACAGGCAAATGATAGCTCCGAGAAGCCATGATGTCCGCAGCCATATTCCCTTCCCTTAACGTATGCTGAATAACACAAGCTTCAAAATTAAACTATCTTGAAATTTCTTGATATCACAGATGAATGCTGTACCAGATGATCTATCATAGACTCCTCCCCTTATATTTCATATGAAAAGAATATTGTGTAGTTGTGTTTTGTTTAACTATTAGAAATGATTGATAACTATAACTATATTTATTAACTAATCATTTATAAAACAATTAATATCTATTACTTAACAGTTTGAAATTAGCTATATAATGATATTTTTAAATACCTTGACCAATTATAAACTAATAAAATCATTATAATTAAATAAATTTATAATATATTTATGTAACCTTAACAAATGTTTGCATGGGCATAACATGGCTGATTGCCATACAGGCGGGTTAATTTGTGCCTTTACGTAGGCCACGTGGGTGGAGTTGAAGACTTTTGTTAGCGTTTTGAGATCACAAACCTAGAAATCTGTTGGTTGTAAAAGTAGCCCAAACACTTGCAATCCCTAGTGCATAATTTCTTCCCAGATTCATCCTCCTTCATCGGTCCATTTCCTCTTGTGTACTTGCTCATAAAATGGTCCACACCTTCAATCTTGTAATAGAAGAAATCATAAATCCCACACTTAGTCAACTTTCTGGGCTCACATTCCTTGCTCCAACCTATCAACCCACTGGCCACTAGGGGAGGGGCAAGCTACTCATTGGTTCTCCCCATTAAAGCCCAAATTTCCCACATTACTACTCAAGCAATATAGGCATTCGTTGTCCCACACTGAATCTTTTGAGAAAAGAGTGAAGGTCACCTCCCAAGCACCTCAAAACACATGTTCATAGAACCTAAGATTTCCATCTAAACCGAGCCGGAGAAACGACAACGTGTTGTTGTACTTGGGCCAAGTAACTAGGATTGTTGACCCAATTGTGGAATTAGCACCCGACCACCCCAATTTTAGGTTATAAGAAACATAACCCTCAAAGGTTTCCCGTTCACAAAACAATTTCACAATCTCTAACACTGTGTGGATAAAAATTAGTAAAGGAAAGTGAAGGAAAAGGAAGGGAAGTAAAGAAGAGGGAAAGGGAAGGAGAGTAAATGATTAATATTAATTTTGTTTGGATAGATTAAAAAAGAAGAAGAAAATGGAAGGAGAGATTATGTTTTTTTTTTTATTTAATTAAATAAATTAAAGAAAAGTAATTATAAAATTAATTAAAATTTTATAAATTTATTTATTAAGATTAAAGTAAAAATATAAATTTTAATTACTTTTTTTTAAAAAGTAAAAAAATTAAACAAAAATAAATTTAATCATTTTGAATCCTCTCAAATTGGAGGGATTAAAAATAAAAAATTTGGAGAGAGTCTCCTGCCCCTTTATCTACCTCCCTCTCATTTCTCCTCCAGTAATAATGATATCTAAACAATATAAAAAAGAGACATTTTCTTCATTCTCCTACTCTTCTCCTTCAACTCCTTCAACCCAAACAAAAGCTAAAGATTGCTTATTTACATTTATCCGAACATTACATAGATTTGGCTTAGGGGTGTTTGGGCTTCTATGATACAAAGTCAGTCTTTTGGAATCCATAACCAAGCTATAAGGCCCATCTAAAAGAAAAAAATAAAAAAAGAAGGAAAAGAAAAAAAGAAAGGAAGAAGTGGCCAAACCGCCCAAAGAAAGGAAGAAGGAAAGCAAGATAAGAAACGACGTTAATTGTACTGACATTAAAGTTGCGTTCGGAGTTGCATTTCTACGGGTTTTTTTTTTTACTTAATATTTTATAAAAATATTAATGTATTATAATTAAATTAATTTAAATTAATATTTTATATAATTTAATAATTATATTGATATATGAATTTTTTTAAAAATAATTATCAAATAATAACATAATTTTCTTTAAAGTAAAACACTAAAAGAACTATAATCTCATTCTTGTTTTAGTGAAAAACTATAATACCAAAACATTTGCTTGGATAAAAGGTAAATTGATATCTGCTGCTTTTTATTTTAGTAACTTGTGTCAATTCTCAAAATTATGTATTGCTCATTTTTAATATGACAGCACATATTCTAATGAAATGGATGAGTACTTTTTGTACTCATAATTTATAATACATTTTTATTTATCAAAAAAAAAAAAAACTATAATCTTTTAATACTTCGTAAGTTGCATATTTCTTTTTTTAATTGTCTTCAATGATTTATTGTTGTTGAGTTGGACTGACAATTTATTTAGATATCTAGACTAAAAAGACTATTCTCCTTTTTCTATGAAAAATTAGTAAAATCACTTTTAAAATTTGAAAATACTATATTACAATATCATATGATATTATAAA